CACACTGGTGGGCTGAAGTAGTAACTAATTGTCGCGTTTTGTTTACGTGACAAACCCTACTCGTTGGCTGTGTCGGGTGGTGGTGGGTTAACGATACATTTATACTTTTTGATTCTTTCGGTAAAGTCACGTATAAAAATAAAAATAATAATAGACTTTTCCTTAGGTGGGACGACCGCTTGCGTGGCGATCGAAACGTCTATTAATATTTTTCCACGTGACTTTACCGAAAGAACAAAAGAGTATACATTCCTGCAGTCACGAAAGCTTCAAATCAAGATACATTTATATTTACGCGATCTAACCCAAAAAAATCTTATATTATGTAATCATTTTTATTCTCATTTTCGAGATGCGATTTGGATTTATTACGGCGTCTGGAAAAAGCGCCATTTTAAGACACTGGACAGATGGTGAGACCATGGGCTTCCCGAGGAAAGGAGGCAGATTCGTTTATTAACTTTGAAATTTACGATGAGAAAGAGATGCAGAGAATTTATTTGAGCATCAAACCATCCATTTATGACTCACAGAAAGTGCGCGTCAATTGCCTTTGACAAAATTTACTCAGTTTCATCGGATCTCAGAAGCTAAGCAGGTTTGAGCCTGAACAGCGCTAAGACGGGCCACTGCCACGCACAACAGGTTGTTATCGGCGGCGTTGCTCTGTGGTAGGCAGCAGCGGGCAGTGCAGAATAATGCATTGGTGTACTGTAATCTATTCCCTGCTTCAGCAATCCGCATTCTAGCATAGTCAAGTAGGGTGTGGGGAGGCCATCATCCAGCAGTGGATCGATAGAAGGGCCATGCACGTAAGCCAATTATATGCAAATTGTACATTTATGCCAATGGCATGAGCAAAATTATACAAAAAATTTAGAATCCCACCCCGGATAAACAATTAAACAATACAAACGAGGGAGAAAAAAATATTGATTCTTGACTCAAATCGGGACCCTGAATCGAGACAACTCATCTTATCGACTTGGGGTGGAGGGTGGGGTGAGTGGGCTGAATTGTTACAATCTCATTAAAACATGTCAAACTAATTTGAATATTTTAAAAAAATCCTCCTGATAACGACCGCTTGCTTTGCGATCGAAACGTCGTAGGTTTGTTGTTATTTTTTGTTATTTTCTTTGAACCTATCTACGTGACTTTACCGAAAGACCGAAAGAATACCCATTTTAATTGTTAATGATGAAATCGGTCAACAAAACACGTGTCATACGGAGGACATTTGTTGGCTTGGCAACAGCGGAGTGGCAGTGTTGGGCTTAGTCATACAAAGGCAGTTTCATAGGCCCTTACGGCATGGGAAGTTGCATAGAGCAAAATATATCGTTGGGCACAAAAATGCATTTCAAACGAGGTTCATATCAGTTCAGGGGTGGGGCTCACAAAACTCCATCTAGGATTCTAGGTGAGATTGAGGTTTATTGGACAGCTGACACGTGCAATATACAGGGAAATTATTGTGACATTATTGACTGAGCAAAACGCCTTGGAACAGCTGGACAAAAAACAATGAGCGACGTCTGGCGTTTTCGTCTCCGTATTGCCATTCAGTCGCACGGACGCACTCACTCCCTTCACGGATGGTCACATTGGGGAACTGTGAGCATGCTTGTAAACTGGCTCACTGCGGTTTCGTATCTGGAAGCTTTGACCTTATTCTCTAGAATGTCAGACGCACCGGAAAGCAAGACACATGCCAAACTTATGCGCGGTGTCAATAAAGTGAAACGAGTCTGGTCCCATGCAAACACAGACAGACAACATACCGGGTTATTTAGGTGGCAGGGTGACGCAATGGTAACACGTGTGCCTCGCAGCTGGTAAGGAGCTGGGTTCGATTCCTAACTTCCGGCACTCTGCTGTTCTACATGGGTTTCCTCCAGGTTCTTCAGCATCCTCCCATATCTAAAACACACACACAGTGTAACCAGTGTTGACCAAGTGTCCCAATGCCGAAGGATTACTTGCAACGTACCCAATTGGGATTTTACGCAGAGCGGCATCGACCCCCTGACGACTGAGAAACTGCCGCAGACTGTGTCTGTGAAACACGGCACCTTCGTGATGATAGCCTTCTACTCTAAACACGGTGGGAATACCCAACTTTTTAAATTTCAAATACAGGGCTAGCAGGATGGGGGGGGGGGGGGTGCGTCATCTGAAAAATACGCGTGCCAGGCTGCTCTTAGAGAATTACGAGACGATCTCGTTTCTTTGCAAAGATATATTGACTGAGACGACGTTTGTTAATACGGTGTATATAGCTTTTCGCATTTTTACTTAACATTACAACCAGCAGACGCGCGGATAGATTTAAACGCCAAACGATTACACAACGCTGTTTGGATTTACGTAACGTCTTAACTCGTGAGAGTCTCAAGATGCCGTACAGAATAAACAGACGAGGCAACTTTTTTTTATCTCACTGGAATTTTGTTTAAAATAATAATTACACTTTCATTTGCCCAGGATGGCCTCGCTGCGTCTGAATCGTCGTGGCGCGCATTTGTTTATCGCGCGAGGGGAAAACATTGCCTGCAGAACAAATTGACGTCCGCAAGTGAAGAACGCACGAGACTCGTCATCAACAATGCTCGTTGTGGTCGACCGTGGCTATCACCGCTTCATTGCCCCCCCCCCCCCCTGTTGGGCAGGGGCATCTCACGGCTGCGTTGGGATTTTCGTCGTAGCGCTGCGTCACTCTCCGACGTGTTTTACTGGTAGGAACCTCCTGGTTACACCAGCCCACAGGGGATTATTGTGTCCGTCCGTCCGTCGTGCAGGTAGGGGTTGGGTGGGGAGGGGACGGAGGGGAAGGTGGGGAGCGGCTGAGTGGGGAGGGTGGGGAGGGGCTGGGTGGGGAGGGGCTGGGTGGGGCTGGGTGGGGAGGTGCTGGTCACTCCGTGGTGCCCTTATAAAACTCAACGTTTAACCTACTCACGCCGGCTTGTGCCCGCCCTCACAGTCGGCCATATTTGCGGAATACACCACGCCGCCGTTGACCCTGGCCATTGACCGAGCAACCCAACGCTCCTACCAGCTCCCTCCGCAGGACAATGTGTTCGCGTCACTCGCAGGGAGCTTTGCTTCACCGGCTCAAGGAGCTGCCAGCACGTAGGAGCGAAGCGTCAGCCTTCATGTCGAACGAACCAACACACTCGGAGAGCAACCCTCGCCACAATTGCCAAGCCTGGAGATTTAAGCGGAGGGCTGGCGAACTCTAAACACATCTTGCCGCACCAATTTTCCATACCAATAATAATACTTCATGTAATTTTCGTCAGCAACAAAAACATTCAAGCTGATTTATGCTTTGAAAATCGATACGCGTGAGCTTAAGAAAAACCCAGCATTATGGCACGTAAATCAGCCCAACAGGAAAGCAGACGCACCGTGTCTCAATCCCTTCATGATCCACACAACAACCTCCCAGGCGCGGCATTAGAGGCTAGCTGGCACCACAGACCTCGTCTGGAAATGAGAAAACTTAAAAATAAGCACAGACGTCAGTCACACCTTGTCACCCTTGCAGTCTCCACTGCTGTCAACCACCTCCCTCCCCCATGACCAGAGCGTGTCCCCCCACACATTCAAACTTCATTTGTAGCCCGGAACCTTCGGGGGCCCTCCTCCTGTCATTGACCCTCGGTGTAATTGCGCCTCCATAACACCTGGCTATACGTGCGGTCTAAAAGAAGTTAAACACACAGACAAAGATCCCCATCCCCTTATAGCCTTAACAGACTGTTGGGGCAAGTGCTCTTAGCGAACACTTATGAAGACCGGCACGGTACACGACGGGGTGGGTGGCCAGCACCACGTCCCCAGTGGCGATGTTTACACACCGCGCCAGGTGCTGCATTTGAGGCTCAGTTGACCTAGGGCATGAGGCCCAGGACCGGTTCACATAATTGTCTCTGATATCGGCCGTGAGCCGGACTCGAACTCGGGTAGCCGTGTTCGTAGCGCAGTGTGCTAACCGCAACATTACCGCTCCCCGCACGTACACACGCTGCACCACTGTGCGTGAGTTCGAGTGAGTGTGCCTGCACCATCACCGCATGCTGAGTTCTGTGCACGCTTCAGGGCGAGGGATGCGTGTGGTCGACAGAACTCGGTGGCTGGACGTTCGCACAGCGGAGGATGCGGGCTCACAGTACAGGATCGAATAACTTGATTGCTTTTCGGAAGTGTCCGCCGTGACGCTGCGTCGCGGTCTCGTGTGTTTTGACGTTGCGCCACACAAAAACACCTCGGCAGTAAATACAGCATTCAATTTATTTGAATACGGTATGTGCCACAGTGTGTGTCACAATGGGGAGCGGTAGTGTAGCGGTTAGCGCTACGCTGCGCTATGAACCCGGCGACCCGAGTTCGATTCCCGCTCACGGCCAACACCAGTGACGATTATCTGAACCGGTCCTGGGCCTCCCCTAGGTCGACTCAGCATCAAATAAGTACCTGGTGCGGTGTGTAAACATTGCCACTAGGGAGACAAAAAGGTCGGGCGTGGTGCTGGCCACCCACCCTTTCGTGTGTCGTGTAGGCCTTCATAGGTGCTCGCTAACAGCACTTGCCCCTACAGTCTGTTAAGGCTATATGGGGGATCTTTATATTTGTCATAATGCACCCACTCCCTCACAACTCCATTCCACCCGAGTGAGCCAATGAGTTGTCACGATTCGATGCAAGAGCTTCTGTATTGTTTGCGGGATTGTATTACGTCTTGTTTGTGCATGTTTGTCCACTTGATTGGCCGAAATGTGCATTTAGCAAGGCATTCATTCATATGTTCAGTCGCTGATGCATCTGTTTAGAAATGTGTTACTTTCCTTCGGAAGCTCCCATCGTGGTCAGGAACGTCAGACCATCCCGCCGAACAACCGAACGACAAATCGTAAATCTCAGTTCCTTTCACCGGCCCTCCATGCCACCGCTGCTCCGTCTAACGGCAATTGCGCTTCCGTTGTCCCCCGGCACAGCTGGCGAGCCCCAAGATACTCGAGGACACGTACGAGCGCTGGAATGGCTACCGCAAAGACTGTTACCAGCAGCAGGAGCTGCAGCCCCTGCCCATGGGTACGCACACCCGGCACGTCGGGGCACATGTGTGATGGATGCGCGGCGGAATGCGCGTGCACGTACGTTGAACTTCTTTTACACCGTACAAAGCCAACCGTTGCTCATGGGAGGAGCGGGGACGTGGCGTGGCATGTTGATCAGGGGGGAGGCAGCTATCAAGTGTGCAGGCAGAGGGACCCAGGTGCCGGGGAAATTGGATGGGGAGAGGTCCCATTTCATTCCTTGTACCAGGGCCCTTGCCAATCCACACTGCACTACGGGTGTGGATCAAAGCTAGTGCTTTGCTCGTACTTGCTTAGATAGTCGTGTGTCTGGAGTTATTATTAGACTCCCATGGGTAGGCTAAGCCTAATGTTTGGATTGGTCAGCATCAAGCAGACGAATGTTAGTAAGGTTTTTTTTTCGGGCTCTGGGGAATCCGACTGCATATTTGTGCCTGGCTCATTGGGCAACCGCATCGCTGATCTCGGAAGCTGAGCAGGCTTTGAGCCTGGTTAATACATGGATGGGAGGCTGCCTGGAAATATCAGGTGTTACAGGCTTGGGCTACGGCATTGGAATCACATCTATCTGCACTTAGCTTTGAATGCTCCTTACGAGTGGGGTATCTTCGGGTTATGCAATTTCCTCCCACATGCCAAGCACGCGTGAATTGAATAGGTACAAAATGCCAATGCAGGACCCTCCCTAGAGAGATTTGAGACTGTGCAAGCACACGCATATTCCTTAACAATAAATGTCTCTGATTTACCTTTGTTCTCCGATTCATAACCTCCTTTTTCTGTGTATTCAATGTGACTCCAAATAATTAATTTGTCCACGGATCTTTGTACGACTCTTCAACTCTGCCCTGTTGTTTTGTCAGTGTCTGGTCGAGATGTCTCATTGCTGGCGATATTCTACGATTAAAAGCGTTCCACTGGGGTTTCAAACGTACTGCGCGAATGCGTAAGACAGCGCACAGCCGCTCATGCAAATGAGACTCTCCCTGGATTCATATTCTTGGTTCTTTCGGTAAAGTCACGTAGAAATCCACAGCAAGAAAATGTTCTTGCTGTGGATTTCACACCTGATGATGATTGCTTGTGTTGCAGTCGAAACATCGTGAGAATTTTTATTGCTTTATATTTATATTATTTTATTATTTCCCGTCTACGTGACTTTACCGAAAGAACCAAGAATATGAATCCCTGCAGTCACGAAAGCTTTAAATCAAAATCTCCCTGGGTTCCCGCTTAGTTAAATAAAACAAAGGGGACTCACCTAAACAGCGGCGCGGGCAAGACATCGTTTTTTCCGGGCTGCAACCTTTACCTTACTCATCTGGCTGTCGTCTGATGAAGCTAGTTGTAATTACTGGCGAAACGTCGTACTCAGTTCGTAAATGTTGTGGCTTGGCTCTCCAACACACCGGTGTGCTGTACTAGTGACGAATTGGCCACGTTCTGTTTACGTGACAACAACCCTTACTAGTTGGCTGTGTCGGGTGGTGGCGGGTTTTAACGACACATTTATATATATTTACGCGATCTAACTCCCCCCCCCCCCCACAAAAAACCCCTCTATTATGGATGATATTGATCGCGAAAGCCCATCGTGTTAAACTTTACCTTACTAATCGGCAGAGGGTCGGCGCGGTGCTGCGACGGGTCACCCTCGCGATCACGTTGCCGAGCTGCATACACAAAACCATCGCGGCAAAAACAAAGTGAGAGGTAATTTCATTAGCAGCGGCCCACCGGGCAGGCACGCTCATATTTTGTTTTGAATGCACACTGGGGGGGGGGGGGGCGAGGCGGAGGGGGGGGCAGACCAAAAAAACAAACAAACCCCCACACAATGCATGCGCGCAAGCGTTACCGCTGTCAAGTCTCGCCTTCACATGCGGCCTAGCCTAAATTATCGCCTCAAAAGGTGCGTAATGGTTGTTTCTTTATTTATTTATTTCACCACGACGGTGACTTCGTTCCAAAACGGAGCTGCGATGCCGCGGTCCGACGAAGCAGAACGTGGTGCGGGGCTCAGCGTTGGCGTTGCTTTTGGCATTGGCGGTGCTGTTGCTGTTGCCGTTCACATTGCCGTTGGCTTTGGCATTGGCGTCGTCGTTGTCATTGCTATTGGCATTGCCGTTAGCATTGCCGTTGGCTTTGGTGTTGCCGTTGGTGTTGCGTTGCCGTTGGCGTCGACGTCGCCGTTGTCATTGCCAACACCATTGGCGTTGGCATCAGCGTTGCCGTTGGCTTTGGCGTTGCCGTTGGTGTTGCCATTGGTGTTGCCGTTGGCATAGCCGTTAGTCTTGCCGTTGGCTTTGGTGTGCCGTTAGCGTTGCCGTTGCCATTGGCAATGCCGTTAGCATTGCCGTTGGCTTTGGCGTTGCCATTGGCGTCGCCGTTGTCATTGCCATTGGCAATGCCGTTAGCATTGCCGTTGGCGTCGCCGTTAGCGTTGCCGTTGGCTTTGGTGTTGCCGTTAGCATTGCCGTTGGCGTCGCCGTTGGCATTGCCATTGGCGTTGCCGCCGTGATAAGCGACGCACGAGCAGGGACGGCTCCCGGTCTTCCCCTGAAGCGTCTGCGTTTTTGTGTTTTTGGTTCATTTATAGATTGAAATGTAAATTTTGTCTTGCAAACATTGCCGATCCATTGATATCTTCTCTTTTGAAAGCCAATTGTAAAAGAATATTGAGAGTGCTATGTTTGTTATTGGTATGTCGTCGTTCCTATAGATCTTTCCAGCTTCATCAGTGTCAGCAACGTTATGTACAATTGTGAACGAGTTAGGAAAACGTCATGAAGATTCTGGAAGCACTGTAATCTCAATCATGCCTCGTCTTTTTAAAAATGCCAGTTTGACAAAGAGCATCAGCGTGCATGGATACAAGAGCATTTTGGTTCGCTGTTTTGTAATAGGTGGTTGATCAGGGCAGGTCGCGTGTGGTGGGGTAAACTGTGGGTACTCACACCTCGTCCAACGTGTCTGGCCAGTGTGGAAGAGTAGGCCAAATACCCTCTGTAAAAATACTTTCGCGTGCTCCCTTTCGTGGAGGCTGTTCAACCAGCCGTGGTACGAGCAGGCAATCGCAGGGCTGCACCTTAATATTTTGTTCTTTACATATAAAAAAAAAACTTCACTTTAGTCCATTCGTTCAGCTGTGCACAGCTCACTTGCAAGAGCATGCTCTGCCCATATGTAGAGATGAGCCATCTCCTTCACAAATGGAAGGCGAAAGGGTTGGCTCGTTGCAAATGTGGCGAAGTGCGATCTGTTCAGCATGGAACCGAGCAATGCCCATGGCACGCTTACACAGGCGGTGTGCACGCTGCAACATCAATCAACTTCTGATGCCATCGGATGGATTACCCGCCTCAACGCACAGCTAATAACGTTATGTCAGTTGCTCTGTTTAATGATATATGAAAGAAGAGGGCGCTACGTGAAGTGTAGATTCATATCTTTTTTTTTATTGGTCAAGTGTTAGTCGCAGCGTGGCTCTGTGTTGTTACTTGTGTAGTAGAGTTACCCACTCAATATTCACAAACTGGGAGAGCTAATCGTTGACAAGGTTTTCCCGCTCAAACTAACGGTCAGGGTCTCACAAGTTGTGAGAGCTGACCGTAAACAAGGTTTTCCCGCGCGACCTAACGGTCAGGGTCAGATAGGGTGAATTGGGATCGAAAAGCAGATTGGGAACGACCAATCACAGGGTTCCACAAGGTGGCCGGGGATTGGACAACCCGGCCACGAACGAGTATAAAGCCAGAACGCTCAGAGCTCTCGGGGAGTTCGACGACACGAAGACCCAAGACGGCGGAAGAAGCATAGGACCCTGGACCAAGCCCTCCAGCCCTTATAAGGGCTAGGGTTCAGAGTAACCAGTGGTCAGGGAGACATCTCCCTAGGTCCAGTCAGAGGACACTGAAGGAGCGGGGTATGAGTAGCCTGTAGGCTTGTACGTTCGGAGTGTAACGGGTGAGGGGACCGTATACCCCTCAGTGCATAGGGACTGTATTCACAAATAAAGTGTGTGCTACTAAAAGACGTTGAAGAGTCTGTCTGTACAATACTACACTTGTGTAGAGGAGTATTGTGAGTAACCATGAGGCAGAGGTCGCAAACGGGTTTTGATTCCTTACCCGTACCCGGCCGCACCAAGGTCGCAAACGGGCACCCGTACACGTACCCGGCCGTACCTGTACCCTGCCCGTACCTGGCCGGGTACGGGTAGCCGGGAATCGGGTAGGGTACGGGTCTCGGGTACCCGGTTGCGACCTCTGCCATGAGGGGGCGAACAGAAGGAGACAAAGCGGTTTGACAGTCAAGGATGATGCAATGTCGCAGGTGGTGTAATGGATACCTTGGAAGCACACAGGCGGGTCCAAGCTGGGGGGAGGAGCCACCCGAGGGGTTCTTAAGGGGGACCCCGTGACGGAGGCGTGGTCGTTGTGGGGAGCCAGTGTAAGGATCGGCTGGAGAGAGCCAAGGGGATAGTTCCTGTCGTGTGGAGTAAAGTATCGGCTGGAAGAGGGTCTCTCTCTCCTCGTCGCGGGGCGATATTGGCTGAACCTCCGCTCCGGGCAGACGAGTGAGAGAGCCCAACGGGATACATACTCTTTGGTTCTTTCGGTTAAGTCACGTAGGTATAAAATAAAATAGATCACGACGTTTCCGGCGCAACACAAGCGTCCGTCATCAGGTGGGAAAGCATGGTCTGCTGCTGATGCAGACTGTTTTAAAAGGGATAGCCGAGGGTAGGACCAAATAGTGATCAGTGTCCAGGGTAAGGACCCAGATAGAGAGCACCTACACTGGTGTGAGCATAGAGTGTGAAGTGTAACAGTGGTTTAATAAAATGGCAACAGCCCTTATAGTGTTTCTCGTCTCCGCGTGGTTGCACTGCACAACACTTGTAAAGACAAATTACGCTTCTGGCGCTTTTGGACATGGTTCAGTAGGCGGCGGTTGTGTTTGACTGCTGGAATTCGGTAATAATTTGAGCAA